AACCTCCTCTGTGGTGACAGGGTCAAAAGAGGAAAGTAACAAGTGTGATGGAGGGTCTGGTACATGAATATGGGAAGGTCACTGCACAGTGGTGATCTGATCCCGAATGGTATCTATTTTGTTTTTGAAACGAATGGCAATGTCCTGGGCAGTGAGTGACTTAGTGGGTGGTGGCGGTGGAGGACATAGTAGAGAGTTCAAAGTAGAGAAGAGTTGGTGAGGTCTGGATGAGAGTTTGTTAATGAGAGTGACAAAATATGTCTGTATGGCAGCACGGAGGAAGGAATTATATTTTAGGAGGGCCACTTTGTACAGGGTAAAGTTTTGCAGAGATGTAGTTTTTTGCCACAGCCGTTCAAGAGCGCGGCTATGTCTCTTGAGATTTCTGGTTTAATTTGTTTGCCATGGTGGTCTTGGTCGTGCTCTAAGCCTGCGAGTAGTGAGGGGAGCCAAGGTGTCTTGAGAGGATGAAAGTGAGCTGTTGTAGACAGAAATAGCCAGGTCAAGGCAGGACAGGGTTGAGATTTTGTTATAGAGGTAGTCAGTAGCTGAGTAGAGAAGAGAAGGGTCGAGGTGGCGAAGGTTTCTCTGGGTGACAGTGTGCCATGTAGGTGGATTCAGGGTTGGGGATAGGGTGAGGGTGAAACTGAGAAGGTTATGGTTTGAGAGGGGGAAAGGGGTGTTGGCGAGGTTGCAAGGAGTGCAAAGGTGAGAGAAAACAAGATCTAGTATGTTACCATCAGAGTGAGTAGGAGTGTTTGACCATTGTGTTAGATCAAAAGAAGAGGTTAGGTCAAGAAATTGAGTGGAAGCCGGGGTGTTAATGTTAGTAGCAATGTTAAAGTCACCAAGAATGATAGTGGTAACTGAAAGAACAGTTTTATGCCAAATATCCTGCAGAGGTACGAGAGTGGGTGAAAGAGAGACACCCTGCCACCCTTGAAAGGGCTGCTATGCTGGCAGATGAAGTCCTAACCATCAAACCGCAATGGAGGACGCTGCTAGCGGAACCTCTGAAGACCCCGAGCCCTGGGCAGCCATTACTAGGCACCCCTGTTCTGCCTCCCCAAAGGCCTGTTGTTTTAGCCCCTGGTACCACCCCTGTGTTCTCCCGCTGTACTCAACCCCCTGGAATCGCTGTGGAGCGGCGGTGTTATGGGTGTAACCAACCTGGACATCTGCAGGCTAGCGGTCCGAGGAACCGTCGGCCCACCCAAGTTGCCCCCAAGCACTCTGCCCACTATGCTGAACTGTATGGTGAGGAAGAGAATATCCCACCAAGTCCAAGTGAGTGGGCGGCCCCCACAAAAGTCGATACTGCCCATGGGGTATATGGCATTCGACTGCTCACCACACACTGAGCAAAGGCAAAACCACCTACAAGAGGTTTCCATCAATGGGAAGAAAGCTACAGGCTTTCGGGACACAGGTGCCTTCCTAACTATTGCAGATCCCCGTGTTGTAAAACCTGAAGCAATTGAGAAAGGCCCCGGTTTTTCTATTGAACTAGCAGGGGGTGCCAGGAAACATATCCCCAGGGATTTTGTTTGCCTGGACAATGGATTTGAGGAGAAACTTCGTTGGGTTGGGGTAATGGAAGGCCTCCCTGCTCAAATTCTTCTAGGAAATTATTTGTGAGAGCTTGATTGTCGATTTTTGGGGACTGTGACACAGAGCCAGCCTCGGAAAATAGAACAAATGTCTGAGAGAGAAGTGATGCCAGGCACATCTCTATCAAGGATTTACCCTTTTAACTATATAAGGGCTCATGTCAGTCCAGTAAAGTCCCCAGTGTCTCAGAGGACACCCCTTGACTCTGGAAACAGGTGGAGAAATGTGTGTTCTGTGTCTCCCCACATCCCCCGTCACAAACTGGACATTGCTCGAACACCAGACAAATTGAATTTGGTGTTTTAAAGTGTATAGTAAGGTGGGGCTGAGTGACGACGCAGCAGCATCTGACAGGAAGGCGGTGTCACTCGCTGGATCTGAGATGGAGGAGAGGTGAGTATGTTACACTTATATTAGTAGTAGTAGTATGCTTCTTACATTGGTGTCAATATGTGGACTGATTCTTTCAATTCTTGTATCAAAACAACTGCTTGCGCCTTGGGTCTCTACACTATGGTCCAGACTTGTTCATTAAACTGCCCTCCTGCTAGCCAACTTTTACACTGCTTTATCATATATGGTCTTTTAGTTCTTGAATAGGGATGGACTTCGGGTTCTGCTTGATCATGAGTTCGACCCAAATCCAGCATGTTCAGGGAACGGGTAAACAAACTGCACATGCAAGTGCTCCACCTTGGAGGCAGGTTTAGGGCATCCCCCAACCATGTTACTTAAAGGAATGTATATAACATTTGTAATGTTTCACTTTAAGCATTATTATTCCTTTCACTGTCAGAGCCATTTTGCCTTTTTTAATTTTGCACACATGTCAAAATGTACATTTTAGGCCTCAAAATTGTTTAAAGGGTAATTCTACTTTCTCACAATATTTGAGAAAATGAATTTACCCAAAGGATTCCACACCTCTGCCTGCCCTATGCTATTCATACAGTTTAGCTGTATGAAGAACCCCCCTGCCTACTTCTGGTGTACGGTGCGTACCCCACTGCAGCCTTGCACTGAGGATCCAGCATAACACTCACAAATGATGAGCACTCATTGGTCAGCATGAAAGACCAAAACTGGTCACTGGCACCCCAGTATCCGTTCCATCAATTCCTCTTTATTAACATCAAAAGGTCATGTCACAATGTTTAGCAAAATTTTGGGACCATATGATGGTCACATGACCGCACTGATCAATGAGAAGCCCTTCTACTCAGTAGCTACTTATGTTAAACACAAAAAATAAAGGATCAATAAGTGTGCTGATCTAGAAGAAAAGAGAGGACAATAGCTTTCCTACTGGGGGCAGAATTTACCAACAAGATTCCCCCTCCCTTTCACTTGTCCTAGTGGTTCAATAATATGTAATTACAGTATGTGTGTTGATATTGTGGTGATGCTACTTGATCCACCATAAAATATTTACCACTCTTAACACACAAATCTGTGGTGGGGTTGAAAAAATGCTGTTTCTTTCTTGAAGAGGTTTCACTGGTCATCCGACCAGCTTTCTCAATTCAGGATGACTTGTACAAAAATTATCTGGGAATAAATATGGCGAATGTTGCTCCAATCAACATAATCTGTTAATCCTCACGAAGGTAAGGTGTGGATTGCATTTGCATCATCGGAGCTAGCAGGTGTTATTTTTCTCACACAGAGAGAGGCGTTAAAACAACATTGTATGTGGCAGACAATAGATGTCTGACCTCCCACCTCTAATCAAGCTTGACTTCTCCATCTTTACATAAATGGCCTCTTTCACACCTCTTTTAAACCAGTCTTCCTCCCTTTTAAACCAGTCTTCCTCCCTATCTAGGATGTATATTTGACTGTCCTCAAAGGATTAACTTTTTTACTTGAGATGTAGGTGCAGTGCGGAATCTTGACCAGAGGGTTTGACTCTTCTATACTGTGCCATATGCTGATTCAATTGCTGTTTTGTTTCACCGATGACCATCGGTTGACCATTGAAACGTCTTCAAGAAAAATACAGCTCAGTTGCCTGGATTTGGCCTAGATGAATAAAAAGCTTCACAGACATGACAGAGCGCTATTGCCCCACAAGACATCTAGCCGTGTGTTTTCTGTACTGTTGAATACACAGTATCATGCCAAGTTGACAGATTTTCCAACAGAAGTGACAGTAATCACTGTTTTTTTTACATGTGTCATCTTATATTTAAATGGATGTATACTTGCCTTTTAGGGATATACTGCCTTGTCCGATAAGAAAGAAGGAGTTCTTTTAACTGCCAGTTGCAATCTTGTTTTAGGCTCCTTTCAGCCAGGTGCCTCCAGTTCATTTCAGCAGGGGTTCCATAGACTGATCCCCTGCTCAGTTGGATCATAATGGAAAAAGATATCACATATGACACCCAAGTCCATTGCGTTTTTCCATCCATCTTGTAACGAAGGAAAAGCTGATTCATGCAATCCCTATGAATAGCCAAATGTAGTGAATGTGGTTTTTGTGGTTGTGCCTCCATATACATCTCTTCAGGTCCACAAAAGCGGTTCTGGATGCAAAGTTATTGCGCTTGTTTCAGACCTGAATGTGAACAAACACACATCCCTTTACATGTGCAGGGATGCGTTCTGATATAACTTTGAATTACATATCTCATCTTTTCAGTTACTACTTACATTCAACGGGACGCCCTTAAATTCATTTTCTCTATATTTCAAATAGGATTTGCTGAACCCCATGCAAATTGAACCCAGGCAGATTTGATTATCACTAGATGGAAGAGTCTCTTTTTTTATGTATGTTCTTTGCGTAAAGGTTTATATGTCTCTTGAGATTCTTGCTGGTGGTATAGTAATTAAAACATATGGGACTAAAGCTGGCATATTTCCAAACGAACCTTCATATGAAAGATCTTTCCCGACTATTCGATAATGCCATCAGAGACTTCACAAATGTTGTCTGAAATTTCATTTGATTTGTAATTTGGACTTAACGTTCAGTTTTGGAATAAATAGAGTTTCCTGAACAAAAACCACATTCACTATTAGAATTTTGTTCATTCGAGAAACATTTTCCATCCTGCTCTTTCCACTGTTTTTGTCACTGTGGTCAAAATTAATAATTTATTTGACCCCATCAGCTATTAGAAAGCCAAAAGAACGCTCTGAGGACAAAGTTTCTTGAACTAAATTCTACTGGTATATGGCCAGCTTTAACGTCTGCTTAATATACCAGCACAGAATCAGCAAAACAAATGGCTGGATCCTACCCTGGGGCTCTGTGTAGTGATGGAATTTAACATAAGGAGTAGTTTGAAAGCAGCTGTAGGTTTAAACTGAAGAAAATAACCATTCTGGTAATGTTCAAAAATTTAAATGTGACAAAATATTTAAATACAATTATATTATTCTAGCTGTTCCAGAAAGTAGCATATAAGGCCATGAACAAAGAAGAATTAACAGCAGGAATCGATGATTTTTTAGATGAAGTTGCTGTTCTGCCACCAGGAAAATGGGATCCTACTGTTCGTATTCAACCACCCAAATTTCTGCCATCAGCCAATAAAAGGTAAATATTTTACTGTATATAGCATTTCTTACAGGGGTTATTCGCTTACTGGTAAAGATGTGTAAAACCCACCTTGTAGGGGCTGAATTAGGTTGTAAGTGTCAAAATGCCCCATTCCTGTCCTATCACAAAAGAAGTGAATAAATATCTTCCAAGTATGCCCATAGACAGTAATAAAGAGAAGTACAGAAAAAACTATTACTGATAAGTTAAAATAATATACATCCAGTGAATAACTGTGTTGTTGCTAAACATAATGCAACATAGAACAAAATAGCATTCAGATTTGTGATGCAGTCTGTCCAATCCTCAGTGCAAGATGTCTATCTCTAAGAGGCACATTCTATTCAATTAGAACAAAAAAGTGTCTATCTTAACCACTTCAAGACCAGGTGTTTAGACCCCCTTCCTGGCCAGGCCATTTTTCAGTGTTCAGCGCTGCAGTACTTTGACTAACGTTTATTCCGTCATGCAACGCTGTACTGAAATAAATGTTATACCATTTTTTAGGCACAGATAGAGCTTTATTTTGGTGGTATTTAATCACCACTGGGGTTTTTATTTTTTATTATAATTAGGAAAAATTACAGAAAATGTTGAAAAAAATAGTTTTTTTAACATTATGTTAGGAAACATTTATTATTAACCAGTTTTTTGGTAAAATATAAAAGATGGGGTCACGTCGGGTAAATAGACACCAAACATGTCAAGCTTTAAAATTGCGCGCACCCGCGAAAT